TAAAACAAAACCACAATGAGGCACCACTTCACACCCATTAAGATGGCTAGAAGCAGAAAGACGTGGAAAATAACAGTTGTTGGTGAGGATATGGAGAAGTTGGAAACCTCGTACATTGCTGGTGGGAATGTAAAATGCTGCAGCTGATGTGGTGAATTTTACGTTATGTGAACTTTAACCTAACAAGTAAATAAGTAAATATATAAATATGCACACACACACACAAACACACACACACACACTCACACACACGCTTTCTATTATTTTCCTGAGAACAAGCTTAACGATCTCAGGATGAGAGATCCCTACTTGTTCCTGTCTCTTAATAGAAGGCAGGCAAGATTTGATCCCCAAGTTCTGGCTCAGCCGTGGAGCAGGTGTCTCAGTGGCCACAACTTACTAGAGCGGTTAACCATGCCTCACCAGTTATCTGCTTTCTGAACCTTCATTAATTTCCTGTCAACCTGGTGGCCTTGGTCTATAGCCTTTGGTTTCACAAAAGTTTGATCCATGCTCTGTCGCTAATGAGCTTCGTGACTTTCAGCTGATTAACTCTCCAAAGGCAGAAAGGAAAGGAACATATTCTGGCCAGTCCAGGTCTTCAGTGGTTTACGTACATGTTCTCTGTAACTGTGTATATACCTCTAGTCTGTACAGTGCCTGGTGCAAAAAAAAAAACCCACAATAAATGTCTATTGAATGAAATAACTTAATCCACAAAAAAGCCCAATAATTTGAGTATTACTTCTATATTACAGATGAGGTCTTTATTTCTTCATTGGTAAAATGTGAATTTATTAATACCGACGTCACTGGGTTTTGTTGTGTCTTTTAATTGTATCCATTGTAAGAGGCAGTATGATCTTGTAGAAAGGACGTTGGTTTTGAATCAGAAACTCGGGAGTTTGTGTATTAGCTTCATCATATACTGTGAACCTCGGGAAAATCACTTAACTTCTCTGAGTTTCAGTTTCTGCAATTATTAAAAATGGATAATACCTACTTGCGTGCCTTTTTGGGATTATAAATTAAATATGTTATATATAATAATAAATAATGAAGCATTATATATAATATAAAATATATTATATAATTATCTTTATTTATATATATATACACACATATATATTTATGCTTCAGCAACTAGCTGTTCCTTTTTAGCGCCTCTTGCTGCTTCTCTCTCTCACTTCTAAACAATGGAGTGCCCAGGCTCAGGCCTTGAGATTCTGCTCTATCTACCCTTATCCATGTATTGGTTTCATAGCTTAAATATTATATATAAAAATGTATATTTACATACTGTATACAATATGTGTTTACGTGTATGTGTATATATGTTTATATACACGTATATAAACATTTAGCAACTTAGCACAATACCTAACACATAGTAACTAATTGAAAAATGGTGTTCATGTTTACCTAAATGGAAGTTATTGTCACAGATAAAGCATCTGGCTGAAAATAGGTGCCAGAAAGTTCCTTCCATCTTTTACTGGTCTTAGTTTGGACCCCATGCACTTATAGTTTCTTTCTCTGCTTACGCTCCAGAATTCTTTTATTTTTCTCTGGAATATCCTGCACTGCCTCCCGCTCTCATCTAATCCTTGCAACTTCGGCCTTCCTGATAAAGACGTTGCATCAGGCATGCACCTCTTTGCGTCTGCCTTCTGGGCTAATTATTTGACACCGGACACAAATCATGCTCCATGACCAGCCCTTTGCTGCCCTCACCTGGCCTATTCCAGTGTCTGTAAACCTTGACTTGGTGACCACTGGCCAGCAGGCGCTCAGCTCTGACCTAGTTCTGACAAGAAGTTCACAGAAATAATTCCCTGGGGAATTCAGGCTAATGCATCCCTTTCTCCGGGAGATAGGGATAAAGAGGCAATGTCAATCTGATAGCACTAAAAGGGAAAATTTGGTGACTTTGCAGCAGTGTGTTTCAGGATTGTTCAGGACTACACATGGTTATGTCATCATTACATGGGGAGAAAGCAAAAATCATATGGGAATCCCAGGCCTCATATGATTGCCTTTCTGAGTTCAGTTCAGCTCTGGACCTCTAAACACTGGGACCTACCTAGGCCATAACTTCATTTCTGAACATCAAAGGCTCTCTTCTGATTCTGGAATCCTGTGCTACGCTAAAGGAGAAGATGGGCAGTGAGAGCACCATCCCACTTACTTTACTGTGTGTTACATAAGATGCCAGCTTGGACTCTTCCAGAGTTTCTCAAGTGGGCAAACATAAAGCTTTTTCCTATTCATTGTTTATTAAACAAATATTTATACAGTGAAAAGAAAGGAAAGGTGGCTGTTTTGGGAAAAAATTAGATCATCTATTAACTATCTACTTAAAAAGTGTATAAGTGTTTGAGTGTGTTGGGGGGAGGTGTGATGGGAAAAAGACAATATTTATAACAAAACCAGACAACTAGGACAAAATAGAAAAATGTAGATATATCCCATCTCTGAATATTGATATAAAACCACTAAATTCTTAGCAAATAGAATCCATCTTCACATGAATTAATACATTAACACATTATAATCAAGTGGAGTTTTTTTCCCTAGGAAGGAAAGAACTATTCAAGATGAAGTATTAAATTAATATTACTCAATATCTTAATAAATCAAAGGAAAAAAGACTCAGCACGTGGTTATCTCTATAAATACCAAAACAGATAAATGATAAAATTTATCTATACCTAATTTTTTTGATGTCTAATAAAATATGAAAGAGATGGATACTTCCTTATCCCTATATGAAACGAACGGTTGTTAATTTTGAAACAATAGAAGTATTTCCATGAAAATCAAAAACAAGGCAAGGAAAGTACTGTGTTGCCTGTTACTCAATATTGTTCTGGAAGCATCACATTTAGAGAAGAAAAGAAGATATATAAAAAAGGAAAGATGGAAAATTATTATCAACACATAAATTGACTATCATTAAAAACTCAGAGAAATTTAAATTTTTAGAAGTAAGATAATTTATAAGGTAATTGGGTAGAATTGTTAATAAAAATTCAATAACACTTATAATTATATTATATTAATATGAATTTAAGAACATATCTCATTTATAAAAGTAATAATATTAATTTCCTAAAAATAAACTTAACAAGATATGTACAAGGCCTATATGTAAAACTCTACTGATAACCATAAAAGAAAACTTCAGTAAATGAACAGACATATCTTATTCTTATACAAGAAAGTGTAAATGGTTAAAAAATATCAATTAGGGGCCGGCCCCGTGGCCAAGTGGTTGGGTTGGCGTGCTCTGCTTCGGCAACCCAGTGTTTTGCCAGTTTGAATCCTGGGCACGGACATGGCACCGCTCGTCAAGCCATGCTGAGGCAGCGTCCCACATGCCACAACTAGAAGGACCCAGAACTAAAAATACACCACTATGTATTGGGGAGCTTTGGGAGAAAAAGGAAAAGTAAAATCTTTTTTAAAAAATCAATTATATTAATACAAATATTCAATGTAATCCCAACAAATATATTAATATGATATTTCACTTTGGAACTTGAATGTAAAACTCCAAAATTCATCTGGAAAATAAGCAGGAGAAAATTGCCAGAACCATTTTGAACAAGAAGGGAAATGAGAGGGGCCAAGCACCATCAGATATTAAAATGCATTACAAGGAAATAGTAACAAAAAACTATGTGTTACTGTAGCAAGAATAGACTAACAAATTAATGCCACATAACAAAAATTCTACAAATAGGTCTAAATGTATTTTGAACAAATGGATTATTATAGAGTTTTAAATGTGAGAGAGAAAGATGGTTTATTGAATAGATTTCCTTGGACACCAGACGAACCATTGGGTGGGAGTAGACAAGTGAACGCTAAATCCCTATCTTATTTTTCACGCCAAAATTAAATAAATAAATAAGAACAAGCACAAGTTGATACTGTCATTCATGGACGATTTCTTAGCATACAATGTCATCTAATTGGGTGACCTAGAAGCCATTTGACATCATAAGATCTTGATGAATTGCTGATTAGAAAATTTCTGAGGGAAATAGTAGCTCACTGCAGCATGGAAATGCAGGCTCTGACCTTTCCGAAGACTAAGCCTGCCTTTACATACTAATATGTGATATCTGGAGAGCAAAACATATGTCTTTTTAATTAATTGGCTAGAAACAGATTTATAAAGAAGAAATGGAAACACCAACTGGTAATCTTCCCCTCTGATGTCATAATTCTTTTATTTACCTCAACTCTTGACACTGAGAGGAAATCTTTATTTGTTCCCTCCTCAAAGTTTGCATCTCTTTGAACATTCTCACTCACGGTGCACTGGGGGACCTGGCTATGTACTGAAGAGCATGTACCAGGATGTCAAGAGACTTCAGTTTGAGTTCCAGCTGTGCATCTAACAGACCCGTGACTTTAACCCTAATTTTCTGTGTACACATTGAAGGATGTTCTCTAAGGTCCCTTTGAATTCAAACATTCTATAATTTCAGTGTTTTAAATACAAATAATCATTCTGCTTCCTTTCTTTTATTTCCCTTCCATTAGAGAGTCTTTATTAGAGCCTCAGTTAGATTTACCACGAAAGTCCAGTCATAAATACTTTTGTCCGTTCACTGGTGGCAACATTCAAACCGCTGTAACTAACTGCACTTTTGTAGGACTCCTTGCTGGTTTCTCATTGTCCCTTACATAGAGTGCACAGGGCTCAGGCCTTGAGTCTCTTTTTTATCCACCTTTACCTCTGTAGTGATCTCTGCTCTCATAGCTTAAATGCCGTATAGACAATGATGACTCCATAACATATCTCCCCAGGCCACATCTCTACCCTGTGCTCCGGGCATATATTCCCAACTGCTTACTAGACATCTTTTCTGGACAGTCTGGTAGGCATCTCACACTTAAAATGCCCAGAAAGAACCTCCTTATCTTTTTACCAAAACTAGCTCCTACAGCAGTCTTCCTGTCCCAGCAAACAGTAACCCAGTACTTACAGTTAGTTGCTCAGGTCAAAATCGTGGAGTCGTCCTTGACTTCTCTTTCTCTCACGCCCTCCATCCAATCTGTTGGCAAATCCTGCAGTCATCACCTATAAAATATATACAGAATGCCGTCACTTCTCACCACACCCACTGCTACCACCTCGGTCCAAACCACCGTCATCTCTCACCTAGATTATTATAGTAGCTTCCTAATTAGTCTCCCTGCTACTGATCTTATTGCCCTGTAGTGCATTCTCAATACAGCAAACAGTGATTCTGTTAAAATGTAAGATTATGATCAGCCTTAGGCTTTAATCCTCTAATGGCTTCTCACTCATCTAAAAGACAAAGTCCTTATAGTGGCCTATAAGAACCTAAACAGTACCCTTGCCCATGATCTAGGTGATCTTATCTCCTACTCTTCTTCCCCCCTCACTCCCTTCCAGACCTAGGACTTCTTTATTGTTCCTCAAACACTCCCAAGCATACTCCTGTCTCAGAGCCTTTGCATTTGTTATTCTCTCTGCCAGGACAGCTCTTTTCCAAGCATCCACATAGCTTATTACCTTCCTCACATCCTTCAGATCTTTGTTCAAATGCCATCTCATGAGTAGGTGTTCCTCAATAACCCTATTTAAAATTACACACATCTCAGGGGCAGCCCTGTGCCCTAGTGGTTAAGTTTGGCATGCTTTGCTTCTGCAGCCCGGGTTCAGTTCCTAGGTACAGACCTACACCACTTATTGGCAGCCATGCTGTGGCAGCGACCTACATACAAAATAGAGGAAGAGTGGCAGAGATGTTAGCTCGGGGCAAATCAACCTCAAGCAAGAAAAAGAGGAAGATTGGCAACAGATGTTAGCTCAGGGTGAATCTTCCTCAGAAAAAATAAATAAATAAAAAATAAAATTACACACACCTCCTGCCAAACAGTCCTTTCCCCCATCTCTATTTATCTTTTCTACAGCACTTTTTCCCCTCCTACACACCATGTATTTTACTTCTTTATTTATTGCCTGTCCCTCCTCTCCAGCATATAAGTTCCATAAGGAGGAGGATTCTTGTCTGTTTTTCAAGTGCCTAGAAGAGTGCCTAGTACATAGTAGGTACCCAATGAATATTTGTTGAATAAAAAATGAACTGTCCCCATTGATCAGATGCCTTAGAGATTCCCCTTCTTGTTAGAGAATGATAAAATGGCTTTATGGAGTGAATTAGACTGTGAACAATAAGTGTAAAATACTGTGTAGATGCACAAATGATTATTTCATTATCTGGCCAATGTACAAGGGACACATACAAATTGTTCTAATCACAGAGTGATGAAAGAATAATGAACAATGAGTTCTCGAATAAGTGCAGGAAGAAAATAATGAATTGTAGTTTAAATGAAATTGGGATGCAATGGCCTGCATCACAGGCTTGCTTTATCTATTCTTTGAGCACTGTCATTTGGGGAAAATGTCCTTTAGAGAAAAAGAAGTAGGTCAGAGAGATAGACCAAGTGAAGAAATAGTTGGGCCCAGGGCTCGCATTGAGCAGGGTCAGTATTTGAATGCCTTTTCATCGTGGTTCCTTTACTTTCCAGTATAATTTTGTAATTATTTATTTGCAACAATGGATCAAGTGGGCCTTTGTTCCTTTGCCTTGAAAACAAATTTACTCTTATTCAGAATTTATTAACAGCAATTGAAAATTCTGGCTACCTCTGATCAGATACCTTCCCCATTCAAATGCAATGAACTGAACAATAATTGGTGATTAGGGTTGTGTTTTCCAAGAGAAGATTTTCATTTAGGGTAGGTCTACGAAATACTATTTCCATTTCCCTTCATGCATCTTAGTTGCTGGATGCAAAATTAGAGCTTTAGGCAAGTAGGTGCTGTTGCTAAGGAGAAGGCTTCTCCTCCAGGTCAACACAGGGTTCAGTGTTAAACGATGCTTTCTAGTTGAGCATACTGTGGAAGGTCCTACCTTAATTGTGCAAGATGCTGGATTACATTGGCACAATCATAGATTTAAGACAATGAAACCATGGGCTGAGGCCTCCCAGAATGGTGGAGAAAGAAAGAAATATCTAGTTTTACTAGAGTGTATTAAAGTTTTGGGGTTTTCACACCAAAAAGCACTTGGGCCCCAAGAGAGGGAGAAGAACCTGCTAGGCATTTGAAAGCAGTGCCTGGCACCAGGTTGAGGCAAAGACTTTAGAATGAATAAATGAAGAATTACACTTCACACATGGCTTTTATGCTAGGATTCTTGTATGTATGTTTCTTTGATAGGCCTCATATTCTTATTCATTCCCAAAACAGAACAGGAAATAATATTTTGATACAAAGATAAGAAAAATCAATTATAGCATCCAACGTCATGGCACAAAAAGATATACATTGTCCCTTAACAGGTCTCGGTCCCTTGATGTGAGCATCACACAGGGAGCTCAATTCTTCCCATCTTGATCAGCAGCAGAATTTTCTGTTAATGGTTAATAATTCAAAACACAATTAGGAACTAGACGTATGTTCTTCACACTGACCACTATGCATATCTGTTTAAAACATTAAAATAAAGAAGTAAAAAATTCACTTCTATAGATATGAAGAATAGATCGACATACTACTAATACAGAGGTGCCATTAATTTTTCTAGGAGGATCTCCTCTCAAATCTGTTACAAGGTAATATGTGTTTTTCCTTCACCCTGTGTTTCTTATCATTAAAAGGTGCTTTCAGGTAAACAGTGTACATGGGCACAAAATGATTATTAAATGTTTCAGTGTCAGTTGCCTATTGCTGAATAACAAGCACATCTAAGACTTGATGGCTTAAAACAACATAAATTTATTATTTCTGATGTGGGTTGATTGGATGGTTCTTCTACTTCATGTGGTGTTGTCTGGGTCTCTGGGATGGCTGGAAGGTCCCAAATGGCCTTCTTCACAGGGCTAGTAATTGGTGCTGGCTCCTGGCAGGGCGCTCAGCTGAGGCTGTTGGTTGGGGGCCTTGATTTTCCTTCATGTAAGCCTCTCTGTGAGCCTTCTAGGGCTTTCTCACACTGTGTTGGCTGGGTTCCAAGAAGAAGAGTTCCATACAGGACAGCAGAAACTGAAGATCCCTCGAGGTTTAACTGTCACTTCTGCCACATTCTGTTGGTCAAAACAGATCACAGGGCCAGTCCAAATTCACCTGTCAATGGGAGGAACGGCAAGACCACACCGCAAAAGGCGAGTGGGATGGAAGATAATGTTGCAGCCAGCTTTGGAGACGTATTCTACCTCAGTCAAGAAATGCGTCTTTTACTTTCCCCTGTGCTGCCTTCCTTTTCATTTCCCCCATGTATTGGAGTTTGAATCAGATCACATAGATGTACCAGATTAGAATATGCTGAGTGCATGAGGTATCCTGATCCGAATTTACAAACTATGCCAGTGTAGATCAATGAAGGGGAATGGGACCAGGCAATGCCCCTCTGAGAATTTTAAGGAATTCAAGGAAGAAGTTGTGATGATGTTTGTTAAAATGCATAGTCTGTGATTCTACAAGGTGATTATGCAAAAAAGAAGCTCAAGTTTCCTGAAGTGTCCAGGGGTCAGGTACCATTCTGAATATTTTATATTCATCTCATTTAATTTTCACAACACTTTGAGGTCTGTTTTATTGTTTCCATTCTCCAGATGAGGAAACTGAGGTCCAGAAAGATTAGGTGAACTTACCCAACTATCCACAGGCATCAAATAGGTGAACTTAGTCTTAAAACTCAGGTACGTCCAGCTACAAAACCCCTGCTATGTCCACTAGACTCTTGCTACTCAAAGAGCAGCCCCAGAGAATCCTTATCCCATCAGGAGAGGTGGAGTGTGAGGGGTGCCAGAGAGGGGTTCCCTAAAGTACAAGGCCCAAAGTAGGAATCCCAGTTGCTGATGTCTAAGAGAAGTGAGGATTCATAGGTCTACGATGAAAGTTGGGAGTGAGGAGCAGCAGCTGGGATTACATAAATTGCTGAATAGGAAGCTGGCTAGCAAAGTTTGTAAAAGCTATGATGAGCCTGCAATTAAATGCAATCTCCTTGAGGAAGACAATAGGGTTTCTCTGAGAAGAAATCAGACCAGACTCAACTACCCAAGTTCTTTTATGGGATATGAGAGGATATGGTGAACTCATTTATGTGTGCTTGCTATGGGAACTTACAGCTTCTCAGAAGGATATTCCTAAAATGAGAAGTAATAAAGCTAGAGGCTAACCTATACTGAGCTATGTGGCAGCTGGATGTCCCTGCAGCCACTGCTCCAGGGGAACCGGAAGTGCTAGTATCAGGAGAAGTGCATTCAAGGCCCACATTGTTCAAGAAAGTGGGGAGTAAAATCTCATGGAACTACAAAGGGAAAGCTTTTGGGGTGTGATGGAAGGAGTCTTCACTTTTGAATGAGGCACATTTGATTTAAATCCTGGTCTGAAACATACAAGCTGTGTGACCTTGGGAAAGTCCTGTAACCTGTCTGAGGCTCCATTTCCATATCAATAAATGGGTAATAACAATATCTACATTTCAGTGTAGTTGTGTGAAACAAAAGAGAAGATCGACATCAGAAGACCTAGCAGGCAGTGAGTAAATATCAGTTCATTTGTTTTATACTTACATACTGCTTATTATGTGCCAGGCACTATTCTAAACACTTTACAAATTTTAACTCACTTGATCCTCATAACAACCCTATGGGTGTAGGTACTGTTATTATCTTCATGATACAGATGAAAAAACTGAGGCACAGAGAGGTTGAGTGACTTGCCCATGGTCACACAACTTGTGAATGGGAGCACCCAGATTGAATCCAGATAGTCTAGCTTGAGAGCACGTATTCCTAACCATTATGTTACTCAGCCATTATGCTAGGTTGGAATTTCTGAATTCTCTGTCATTAAAACCTTCTGATGATTCACCCAAATAGAAGGACTTTCCATTGCACTTTTTTCCTCCCATTGAATGTAAACCTCTGTAAGCTGTTTTGATGTGAAAAGAAAAAGCAGGCAGCATGTTCAGAAATACTGCAGCAAGTTACCTTGCCTCCCAGGGATGATTCACCCAGGCACCATTGATAACTCAAT